CAAGGGGAACCTTTACCTTTACCAAGAGACTTACATGGATCCACTACATCAAGTGCCACAGAGAAATCCAAATACTTAGGAAGTTATGGATATGGGATCACCAATGTTATCTTCTTCCCATAACCATGTAGGAAGTCTGAGGTTGCAGCTGCTTTTGTTAAAGGGAAGCCCCTCAGATATGTGTGATTTTCTGTGGAAAAGTGGCTCCATGAACTTATTTCTATAAATTAATATTCACAATTTGTCTGCTATAGCTTCTTCCCTCACAAGCTTGCTTTGTTCCCATGAATCTCCACACTCAGGTATGCCTGCAGAAACCTGTGTCTGAAACCCGTAAGAAATCTCAAGGAGTGAATACACCTGCAGGGAGAGGAAAAGAGTCCTTGGAAAAAGCCTTGATGTTGGGAAGGTGTGATGGCAAGAGGAAAAGGGGACGACCGAGGATGAGATGGCTGGACAGTGTCTGCGAAGCAACCAACATGAACCTGACACAACTCCGGGAGGCAGTGGAAGACAGGAGGGCCTGGCGTGCTCTGGTCCATGGGGTCACGAAGAGTCGGACACGACTAAACAACTAAACACACACACAGAATACACCTGCAGGTATTTGTGGAGTTGGGAAGAACTGCCGAAAAGAGCAATGGACTGGGAAAATAGTGCATCTTCTCTTCTACTGAAAGCTGCCCTCTCCTGACCTTTCCACAACAAAGACAGCTGGTACAATTTAGTAGCAAGTATCCATGTGTAAGACGTAGCTTCTTCCAAACACAGACACAGGAATTTAGCCTCAACACTCTTAACACTGCACATAATCATTTCTGAAAGAATCGTGTGACATTGCTCCCATTTGCCACACAAGAGTGAGGACAGAGGATTTTTTAGGGTAATGCTCTCAAGATTGCTCCTAACTGTAAAATGTCATTAGTGGGCAGACTTGCAAAAATAGCACCTACTGTACAGAATGTCTAGGCAAAGCAATGTTTTATATTAAAAAGGAAGATACTTCCATTATGAGGTTTTTAAAAAGGGCTTACCTTCCCCCATTTCATCCGAAAAAGGCAAACTGAAGACCGCTTCATCGATCATGTGGTTTTGGAGATGTGTATAAAATCTTCCAACGGTGGTTTCCAAATTGCTCAACTGGTTTAACACCATCATGCTCCCTTTTACCACAGGTAAGGCCGTTCGGTCAGGCACTCCGTACTTTGCTGAGTTCTGTTCTGCCAGATCTCGGAGAAAGGCTAGTTCATTTAAACCTGTCACTCCCTCTGCAAAAGAGATGTTGAAGTGAAGTGATTCTGAAAGCTCACATTCACAAACACAGGGAAACTGCTCTAAAGCAATTATGAACCACCTCATCTCATACATGAACAACATGTGGCTTATACAGGACCTAACATTTTCTTTAAAGAACCCAAAACATATGGAAAAACACAACTAAAACAACCTTAAAAGCATAATTCGTCAGAAATGCAATAATTATGACTTACCATTCATGAGAGCATAGGTAAGGATCATTACAGAGTTGTAAAGGAAACTATTTTCTTCATTTATGACACGTAGTGTAGCCCTTTTACCATCTTCTGCTGGATCCCTTGAGGTTATGCCGCCGGACAAATATATTATAACCATATCTGTATCTAAGAAGAAGCACAAAATGGAAACTGTTACATTATAGCACATTAGATAATGGTAGGTATCTGCAGTGCTGGATTCTAAACATCAGGCTAAATCCAACAGTAGTCCTACCTAAAGCAGATCCATAAAACAAGGGTAAGAAAAATGTGACCCATAGGCCATGTCAAATGCCCCAGAAAGCCAGTTATGGTATCCAGAACCTCCCCCCCCATACTTTAAAAAAATGAAAAAACTCAGACAGTCCCATTGCTCCCTCTAGACCAGAGATTCCCAACCTTGGGCAACCCAGGTGTTTTTCGACTGGAATTCCCAGAAGCTTTCAATACCAGCTGTGCTGGCTGGGGTTTCTAGGAACTGCAGTCCAAAAACATCTGGGTTATCCAAGGTTGAGAACCACTGGTCTAGCGCATGTGAAGCAATGTCACTGGTTGCCCTAAACTGGGGCTTTTGTCAAAACTAAAAGCAACTTGTCTTTTGAAAAAGGCTCTCCTGAGTGTAAAACAATTTAAGAACTTCCCACTCAAACTTGGAGAAATTGTGCCCATGAAGAGATAAAGAGAGGCTTTTTAATTTTTTAAAAAAATTAGGGGAGGTAATAGCAGTACAGCTCTCTGATGTCAGGGGTGTAACCATCTAATCTCTGGAAGCATCACTCCCAGGGATTAAAATGAAGCCATCTCCAGTCCCTATAGATGGGTAGGGTAAAAATAAAATAGCCTATTAACATAACCAAATTAAATCCTATTGGTTTCCATTGGTCTACTCTGTGTAGCAACAATACTGGATTTTTGCCCCTCAATGCCATTGCAGCAGATAAAAATATCAGAACCATAACCACTGTGAATAGGTACAGTGCCTGGGAAGCATATCTTTAAATAATTTGCTCTGAGCTGGAAGCAGGGAATATTTGTAAAGGAGAAGTGAAATGCAGTTTGGTGACATCCCTTTCAACATAATGATCTAGGGGAAAACATTTCATCTCCAGTAACCATAGGAAGAGATAGAATAGAAAGCAGCAAACACAATTTTCTATCTGAGAGCAAGATAATATTCTTGAGACTTCCTTAAAATCCACAGGAAGAAAATAAATTAATGAAAGGCCAGTATGTATGGGCCAGCACCTGGAAAAAAACATTGAACTAACAATGCATTACTGTCATTGTTCTCTTATTCACAGTGGACCACCAAAACAAAGGTCTTTTCACATTAAATGTTTACTGCTAAAGCTTAGTCTTTATATCCCTATGCCACCTTCTACCTTCAAACCTTTATTTTCTATCATGCATTTAACAAACTGGAGTGCTATGTTCCCAAGTGTTTTCAAACTCTTGGCATAAAATATCCGCAGTGAACAGATTGTATTCCACCTGAATATTGACATTTGTTTCATTTTCTTCCTCTCAGGTTACTGAAATGCATAAAAATTGCATAAGGATTTATCATTTATGAAAGCACTCTGAAACCTTGTAAAATGAAAGGAACCATAGGAATGTAAATTAATTAAGAACTGTCTACTCCTCTCTGAGAGACTAGCTGAAAGGCTGGGAGGTACACAAACATCCATCTTTTCTGTATCATTCTTATCTTACATACCAGATATGCCCCTCAACAATGTTTGCATTACAAACTTCCACTGGGATGGGGGTGAGGAAATATACGCATTCTTTGACATGCAGACAAAGAGCAGGATGTTAAAATTCTCATAATACCACCAGAACAATATATTATTTTGTGCTCAAAATGAAAACAAGCAAAAAGATTGTTTAAAAGGAAATGGAAGTACTCTGCACATCCTCTTTCTGGAATTACAGATACCTGTGGCCTGTCACTGCTGTTGTTTGCGCACCTACACAATATACAATACCTTAGCCTTAAAGGAGACAATACATTCCTGGTATCCATTTTACAAGCAAGCAAATAAACTGAAATAAAAAAATTAATAAATAAAAACACTATGGTAAGAAAGAGGTTCCCCAAATGAATTAAAAAACATGCTTGTGATTTTGAACCCAATAAGGAAGAATGCTCAAGTTGTGAAAAGCTATTGCAATAGAGATTTGACCAATGTTTGAAGAAAACCTAGCTAAATGTTAATTCGTGTCTATGAAGCTGCTTCTAGGTTCACCTCTATACCCCTGTATTGCACATATTTATATACAGAGTTGACTTTTCATGCCCATCCAGTAGGCAACTCTGATGCTTTAGCAAACACTTATAAACAGTATTCTTCTTTAATACTTGTAACAGAAGAGTCGTACTCATGTTCCTTACTTTATTTTGCTAGTTTACCTACCACTTCACAATAACTGTTGTTTATTTACAGGCCTGTATATACTGCAGATCTCAGGAGCATGTCCTGCGTTCTGAACAAGCTAAAATGTAATGCCCAATTCAGCTCTGGTGCAATTATGCACTGAAAGCTAATCCTGGCAGAGCTCAAATTAGCAGCACCCAACAAGCAAACCTCAGTGTTGCTGATGGTGCTTGATGCCTAAGACATGCGATCTGAAGGCAAAGGAGGGTGATACCTTTTTATTAGACCACTAAACATACAGAGATACCTAGTAACCTAGAATAGGCAATGGCAACATTCAAGTCTGGCTGGAAACATCACCTTCCAACATGAAGGACTTTCTGGCTAATTCGCACACTGCAGTTGCTGAGGGATAAGGGACCTGTACCGTCCAGTTGCTAAGGACAACACTCACATATCCTTGAAGGATGAGATCTGAATCTGCAGATTGATGCCAAGCCGTGAGCCCCATTGAGCTCTGGCACAATTTAAATTGTTTGCTGCTGTACAACCTAATTTCCAGTAAATTAAAAACTACTTTGGCATGTGGTGCATTAGTTTTTACTCTGAAAAGAAGCATGTTTCACCTGAGGCTCCGGCTACTTATTTTGAGGCAGCCAGTGTGCTATTTTATTTTATTTTTAAAATAAATCTTAACTACATTGCATGCACACCTGTGAGATGGGCAACGTGCCATACCAAATTGCCTTCATATTGCAGTCTTCTACCCATGTACTGGCAAGGCCCAGGCCTGTTTAACTCCATTACAGAACCACATTCAGCTCCAGGGATGGACAACCAGCAGGCCTAACTTCAAGCAGTCCCTTAGCCCAATTTCAAAAGCCCTTCATAACTGATCAGTCCAGGCATCTGGCAAGAAAGATCAGAGTGCTGCAAGGAAGAGAGGGGATGCTAGATATGGCAACACCCATTTTCCACTGGCATGCAACACCTACAAATGCCCAGAAGGCCCCAAACCATCCAGGACTACAAGCCTTCATTGAAGGGTGACGAGTGTGCTGGGGCCAGCAGTGTCAACTCAGCCCCAGAGGTGAGCAACAGACAGGAAAGGGCCAGTGAACACAACTCAGTCCCAGCCAGGAACGACTCACAAGCAGGGCCTGGTGAGGGGAACTCAGCCCTGGCAGGGGAGGATTAGTGGGCTTGGCAAAGGGTATCGGAAGCCGCAGTGAGAGACAGGAGGGGTGCCAGGACTGAGACCATCTAGAGTGCCTTCTTTACAGACTGGGCTCCTTTTCTTGTCATAGTAAAGGCCAATTAAAAACACTCATGGACAACTGTGTCTATGGAGCCCATGCTGGAGGAGCCATTATAGGTGTCCACATCCCCACCCTACACCCCGGGAAGGGTTGTCATTGAGCACAGAATCTGACAGGGTTTTCAAGTTTTGTAAGATATGCAAGGAGTGGTTTAACACTGCTCCCCATTCAATGAATTTCCATGGCTGAGCTGGGATTTGAACCCAGGTCTCCTGATTCTGACACTCTATTCCCTGTACCACATTTGATTCTCATGCAATTATTAACAGATGTGAGGAAAGAAATATAAATTGGTAGCTTAGGAAATATAAGACCTCCTTTAGCTTTTGTGTACCGAATTAATTGGTATCTAGACCTAGCTTTCTTCAGAACGGAGTCCCTGAAATAAATATTTCAGTCATGTCAAAATAAATCTTATTGTAGTAGGTCCACGCTAGGCATGACTAAACTGGATCCAACCTAATTCTTGTCATTTCAGTTAATAATTGTTTATATATATAAAATTGTGTGTGTGTGTGTGTGTGTGTGTGTGTGTGTGTGTGTGTGTGTGTGTGTGTGTGTGTGTGCGCGTGTGTATGTTACATATAATGTTACAATCTTGTATACTGTGCTAAAAGAAGCAACTCATTTTTTTAAAAAAAGGAAAGGAAGAAGGCAAAGGCAAAAACATTAATACTGCATTATAAAAGACTTACTTGCTTGCAGTTTGGTGCTATTGTTTGTATTTCGTATCAACTGAAATGCTTTTTGAAATCCTGCCGCATGCTGGGTAAGGCTGTCGGATGACTTTACATTGCTAACGAAGGTGGACATTTTCCTTTTTGTCTCACTGGTGGCAGGAGACAGAAATGTCTTATAGCACTGATCCAAAGAGCAGGTTCTTACTGTGTCTGCCACAGTTAACACAGAAATCTTAAAAGAGAAAAAGCACAGATAGAAATATATTGGATTATTTTACGGCACAGAATTCTTTTAGGCATTGTACTATAAGCACACACCACGATAAGCCAGCTGAGACATCCATCTGGATTTAAAACTCCATTGCCTAAGAAATGAAAGCTTGGGGTATATATATATCTGTCAAACCTGAAAAGGGTTCGACTTTTGTTTTGTCCATGAAGAAATAGGCTTTCTGCTCTTACATGAGCAAAGTGGCTATGATTCCCTAATGTTGATTCCAAAACCACCACCACGTTTCCAGATCACCAGCAGTGATAAACATTAAGGTCACAACCACCTTATATTTTAGGAGAAGGAGCTTCTCTAACAAAGTTACAATTATGAGACCTTTAAATAAAACATACAGCAAGCCCCACATTTGCAGTAGTGACAAAAAGGTTTCCATCTATGGACAGATCAGGCTCCCTCCTGCTCTTTCCTCTGAGATACCATATACCAGCTATTGAATGTGCAGGCTGTACTGGTTATCCTCTGCAAAGCACAGTAGAACAGGCCAGGTAGCTATCTATCCCTCCCTTTGCCTTTTCTATTTCTATAATTATGATGGTATTCAGAAAAGGTCAGATGACATGTGCTGCTCAGGTAAAAGAAAGAGAAAAGGTCTCCACTGCCCTCTCTCAAATGTAGGCAACATAAAATTGATCAGCTACATCTCAAAAAATTAAAAAATAAAATAAAATTAGAAAATAAAAGAGGACCAGAAGCCCAATTCAGGTTAAAAAAATACATTCTAAAATATTTTTTTTATTAAAACAAGGCTGTGCATGAAACATCGGAACAGTGGTTCTCAACACCATTGCATCACAAATTCTTTTATTTAAATTTTTAGAGAAAGTTTCATACCTCTCTATGTCTCCCTCACCATCATGCAACAGCCCTTTACAAAAAATTTAAAGTCAAGAATTTTTGTTGTTTAGTTGTTAAATCGTGTCCGACTCTTCCTGACCCCATGGACCAGAGCATGCCAGGCCCTCCTGCCTTCCACTAAGTTAAAAATAAGCCCAGACAGCATTTTTATCACACACAAAATAAATAAAGATGTAGGAAAATTGGTAGGAACTGGTAGAGGTGGATGGAATTTAACAAGAAGGATGATGAAAATCTCACCCTGGCTTAAAAAAAGAAAAGTGAAGTACATAGTAGAGGTGGATGGAATTTAACATGAAGGATGATGAAAATCTCACCCTCCCCTTGGAATATCGTCATGCCTGCCCCCTCAGGGAGGGGCAACCCCCTAGGTTTGAGAACCAGTGCTTTAAAGGAAGGTCACAGCTGGCTTAAAAAAAGAAAAGTGAAGTACATAAGCAATCAGGGTTGGAGGCACCGGCATCAAGAGAGTAACTGCCCACTCTTCCCCGCAGAAAGTTCAGTACTACCACATTGGGCCTTAGGGACACTTCAAACACTTCTAAAGCAAAAACATGGTTCACAGAGAAACTCTAAAAAGGGTCTGAAGAAGGGAGAAAGTGAAGGATTTGATCTGTTACTTCCAGAGCCTTGTTGGCTCCCAACAGCTCGGGCAGTTGTGGGGTGTTCCTCTTGCATTGGTTGAAACAGGAAAGAAAACACCTATAGCAGCTTTGCAAGGGGCTCAGTTCTGTGGCTACACAGGGAAATGGCACAGCCTTGCATGCAGTGAGTCCACACAGCTGTCTTCTCATTCCAATCCAGAATGCCCTGTTTCAGCACCTTTCACTAGTGAAAACACTGCAAGTGCTAGATTTACAGCCATAGATGTACTAGGGACACAATCAGGTGGTGTGGCCCATGGTGGAGTCTCTCCTCTGCCCCAACCTAATCTCACTCAGATTATCATCTGAGGGGATTAAAGATGATATCCTTCCTCTGAGTTAAATCACCTTATCATGTTCGTCTATTGAGTTCAGGATGACTTGGGCTGCGTCTTTGGCAATCTGGAGTTGTGTCTCTGTCACTGAAGCCCCGTGGTCCACAATGACAACAATGTGCTTAGACTGAGGTCTCACTGTAGAGACATAGACAGGCCTGAAATTGGAAATTAAAAAAAAAAAAGTTAGGAGGCTGCACAGCCTTTTTTTGCCATTATCTCCAGTTCTGAAAGGAAGATGTCAGTGAATTAGAACAGGCCTTGTTTTAGCATTGTAAATCCAGAAATCCCAAATTGAAAGCATTTGAGGACTGAGTGCGGTTTTGATTATTCACCTACATCATTCACTGACATTGCCCTGGAATCTGTTTTTATTGTTTGCCTACATTTACTTCATTTACATGTTTATTTTTGGTTTAACCGAAACCCATTTAGTTAGTGAATTACTTGGTAGCAATCTCCCCAACTCACCCCCCCCCAATGTATAAAAGCTAGAATAATAATGACCTACCACACCAGACTTTTGAGACAAAAGGCATGATAAGACATTAAGAGCAGTAGTTGAGCAGCAGGGAAGTTGCATTCACAGACAGTTCCTTCAATTCAACGTGACCAACTTTATTCCCTGAGTTATCCTGGGTTATCTCAGTACAGTGCTGGGCATCCAATTTTCCATCCATAATTCAGTAACAGTATAACTAATGATAGTGCTTAGGTCATTAATAACCCGTTTCGACAAAGATTCCCTTTTATGCACTGGAAGCATAAGACTGACCTTATGCATATCTGGATCATCTGATGGAGCAATTTTTGACCAGGCAAAAAAATTAGCACAGTAAAGTATAGCTGCTACTTACATAGCATACCTCCGCTTTTAAAAAAAAAGCAAGCACTGTAAAATTGCATTAGGCTTAAGTTTATCATCATGAGACAAAGTCTCTTGCCAAGATCCTCTTTTTCACTAATGCTCTGGAATGTTATTCATACGGGTCATGCTCTGCCAGACCCACTTATCTGTGTATGCTCTTAAAAAGGCATTGGCAAGTCTGCTAAGGGGGCCAATCATTCGCAGTTTGAAAATGGCTTAACTCAGGGCCAGAAAACCATCCACAGTGGCTCTCAATTCCACAGGAAAGCTCCTTCTGCTATTTATCACCAGTTATCAAGTAAAAAGACCAGAGATAAGAGGATATTCAAAGATGTTTAAACTTTAAATATCTGCCACAAGAGGAAAGCATGGAAATCTGTGCTTCACCAACATGAAAACTGCATGCCACTAAACTGTGCTTTGCAAGCAAGAAGCTTTTTGCAGTGAGTGGACAAGTATATAATGGAACTGTGCTTTGTAGGTTTGGTGGGAAAATAGCCTCTACCCTTAGCTTAACTCACTAGAAGGTGGCTGTTGTTATTTTCCCCTCTCAGGGGTGAAAATCAGAACAGACTAATCTCAGCTAAGGAAATCAAAAGGACAAAACAGGAAAACATACACCCAACTCCACTACTTAGTTTTTCTAAACCAAAGAGTCTTTGTTATAAACAAATGATCTTGGGGTCTAAATATTACTACATAGCCACCCAGAAAACTTTTTTTTTTTTAAAAAAGCAAACAAGAATGTAGGACAATGTTCTAAAGACAGAAAAATAAAAAAATAATCAGCATAATCAGCTATTAAGCTTACATGGCCTGTATCTGTGCTACTGCATGAACTGGTGCTCTTCTAATTTTTAGGGTTTTAAAAACTTCATCATGGATTTTAACTAGCATGCAAAGGGAATATTAAGAAACATCAAGATGGGAACAGTATACACACCACTATCTTGTATTTGGTTTACATAGTGTGAAGGTACACTGAAAAATCACAGCTCTTTGAAAACGCTTAACAGAGAATTATCAACATCACAGAATGATAACTGAAATCGCTATTTAGCGAAAAGCATTTCCCTGTTGGAATGCATTGAAATCTGTTTAATGCGTCCCAATGGGGAAGAATCGTTGTTGTCTAGTGAAGATCGGCCATAGGAAAGGCGCTTTGCGAACCGCCGATCAGCTGTTTAAATCGCTCTCTTGCGAAGCTTAGGTCCCGAAAACACCTATTTTGCAAGCGCGGAAGGAGCTGTCAAAATCGCCGTCTAGCAAAAATCAGTTTGTGAAGCAGGGACCAAACATTGTCCAGCGAAACTCCCCCATAGGAATCACTGTTTTGCCAATCCCTATAGCGATTGCAAAAAGTCAATGTCTAGCAAAAAAACTGTCATGCGGGGTAACCGTCTAGCGAGGCACCACTTGTATTAGCTAGGGCTGATGGGAAACGCAGTCTAACAACAGACAAGAACCGTTTACTTTGTTTTTATCATAGCCTAGAGTGGTCACAATGACCAGATAGGTGGGATATAAATAGAATAAATAAATAATATATATAAATAAATTTGTAGGCCGCCTGTCTCCCAGTAGGTTTTAATTCTTTATTACTAATTTATTTGTTGCATGTAAATCTTGCCTTTGTTCCAGTGATCTCAAGACCACATACAAGGCTGTCCTCCTCCTCACTTTATTCTTTCATTCAACAGCCCTGTAAGGTTAGTTGGACTGAAAAAAATGTGACCGGCCCAGGCCACCCAGTGAGCTTCTGGGCCAAGCAGAGACTTGAATCCAGGTCTCCTGAGTGCTAATGCAACCATTTTGACTACGACACACCAGTGGTTCTTTTACCTGGCAATGAAAGCACAATTTCCATTACAACCTCTTGTAATTAAGAGAATTCTAGTGTCTAGCAGCAACAATTGAGATATAGATGGTGATTCTTACAAAGTAACACACATTTGTTGCTGTACTGTTTGGTGGAAGCTGCTCTCCCCATGTACCTGGAGGACCAGCAAGCAGTCAGGTAGAAACCTGCTTTGACATGTAGACTGTTTTTATTAGATCAGGACATTTGACTGTAGATATATTTCTTATGTTCCAGCTTGTTTTCATTAGCTTGCAGCATTTCCAAATGAACACTTCATTTATCCAACTCAAGTGAGTAACCTTCTTTGGATTGGCAGCAGCCTATTATGTTTCAGGTATCAATCATATACCAATTACCTAGTGGTTTGGCTTTGTATTTGATCCCTCTGTTTGGAATACTGCCCAAGACAAGGAGAACAGCCACTTCTTTGGAAAGCTCTCTGACATGAATATTTTCGGGTTAAGAGTGGGGAGATGTGGTGTTCTAGATAATGCTAGAGTCTAATCCCCACCATTCCTCATCATTGGTGACACATGATGGGAGCTGTACGTTCATGGCTTCTGAAGGACCGTACGTTCCTCTCCTGTGTTATAGGCAATACTGTATTAACACTGATTTTTACCCACCCCAAAAAAAACTCATGAAGGTGTCAGTGAATGCATTTTAAAACCAGTCTCAGTTGGGTAAACCCATCAGCACATTGGCATCAGTAATATGATTGCTTCACTATGCATATGGCCTCATTATGGCTTCATGGTTCCACAGCTCAGCTCAGCTGTGGAACCATGAAATCGAACACTGAATGTGGGACCACAGTCACAAAATACTCCTCATGTGGTAAAATCCTACATAGAGCCAACGTGTCAGTTTCATTGTAATAATAACCAGGAAATAAATTCAAACCATAAAGCCAAACAAAATGGAATATGAACTGGTATATAAACAAATATGGTTGCAGCATCCAAGTAAGCCATCCTTATTTATTTTGAAGGGTGGCCTGCAAATTAAGCAAAGTTGTGCAGCAGTATGCTTTCTACAGATAATTTTAAAAACAACAACAAAAAAAGTAACGTCGTACCTGCTGCGGTGTTCATAGCTTCCTTTACATCGAAATTTGTGTGCTGGAAACACAGTAAAAATGCCTTCTTCTGAACTGAAGTACTGCCACTTAATTCCTGGGTTGGATTTCAGATTGTCAGCAAGAACTATTTAAAAAAAGTGGGGGGGGATTAATAGTGTTAGAAACTGAAGGAAATCTAAAGTATCATTTTGATTAAAAGTTTCCATTTTGACATAGCATTACTGTCTCTGAAATGAAATGTTGAACTTCAGGAAAATATGTTTATCTAAACAATTACTATTAACCACCAACTGCACTTTTAATATATTTTTAGTAGTATTTTAACCTCAGATTAATGATTGCTGTTACAAAAAATTTTTAAGTATGTTTCATTCCTCTACTCTTTAGGGCAAACTTAGACAATATAAGGTTCACAGGTCATATCCAGTCCTATAAGACTTTTCTCTCATTGTACTCTAAGCATTATTCTATCATAGATCTGCAGACCTAGAACCCAGTAATTCTAGAAGTTTAAAAAAAGAGCTTTCTGACTTTTCTCATTGGAAATAGTGGACTACTTATTATTTACGTGCCTCACACCACATGACAGATTATATAAAGATGGAATACAGATTCTGCGCTGAAGTGCTACAGAAGCACAAGAATGAATTTCCAAATAGATAAAGAAATGAAAACAAATACAGAAGTTGAAAGTTATGATACTTTAAGAAGTGTTCCTTGGCCAGTTTACAGGTAACCTCTTTAATTACTAGCTTGACTACCCATTCTATGAATTCAGGGCAAATGGATTTCCCAGACAAGATTATCTGAAAGCACCAAAGCATCCAGTTTGGTCTGGCTCAGTGTGGGAGTACTGAGGGTTGCTCCTCAAACACCTGCTGCCATTAAAGTGTCTTTTGCCTGAAACTCTTGTTGAGACAGTTCTGTCCTGCTAGATGAGCTTTTGCTGCAGTGAGAGCAAACCCATCCCCCAACTAGTAGCTGGATACGTGTCTCTAGTCTACGGTCTGGAGCTCAGTCTCAACTCCTTCCCTCTGGAATACCATGTAGGAAGAAGGAGAGAGAGTAGAATCCCCTTATTAATCTAAACTTCAAGTTGACTGCAAATATTAAATATCATTTCTTGTAGAGAATGACACAAATATTATTAATTGTACCTCACACCGTACTATTCATACTAGTCTTAACATTACAGAAAATGACAACTCTCTCTTTTGTTCAATGCACCCTCAGAAAACACTTAACTGCACAGGTGGGTTAGTATTGTTCTCATCTCACAAATATGGAGCTGAGTGCAGAGAAATGCAGAAATGTATCCAAAAGCTCAAAGCAAGCAATGCAGTCAAGCAAGTAATACAAAGTTCTGGGGACTTTGCTCCTAGCTCCAACTTCAAGTCCCTAGGTTGTGCTCCTTCATTCTCCTAAGCCTGTGTTTTCTTAATTATTCAAACAGGCAACTTTTCAAGTGCAGATTTTTAATTTATGGAGTGAGAGTTGAAGTTTTATGCAACACTGAAGCATGGTAAAGAAACAGCTGTTAGATACATTTTACCAAATAAGCCAGAACACCAGCAGTGTGTTATCCCAACCTACACTTACGAAACAGAAACAAAGAACTCCAGTACTATCTTGATAAAGCTATTACGAAGTACAGCTAAATAAACAATAGTTGCTGACTCAAAATTAGTATTATTCAATTGATGTTATGAAGGGAGGAAGGGTGTGCCAAGTGGCTCTCACATAAATTCCACGAATCTCTCAAACAGGTACAGGCTTTTCAAATAAAAACATTAAAATATAAAATCACTAGACGCACAATCCAGAAAAACATACACCTACACACATTCACTAGATCCTTGGCACACCTAGTTCTGAAAGCAGTGATACACTGCTGGGTAGGTGCACTGTTCTGTCAAAAAACCAAAAAACCCAAAAAAAACAAAAAAAACAAAAAACCACACAAAAAACCAACCCTACAGAAACGACCATATAACTAGGACTTTTGAGTTGGTTATGCAATCCAACCAGAAAGGAATCATACATATATAAACAAACAAACAAAACACATACACACACACAAAACCAACCCTACAGAAACGACCATATGACTAGGACTTTTGAGTTGGTTATGCCAATCCAACCAGAAAGGAATCATACATATAGCCCCCATCACTAGCTGCACTGATTCAAATGGCAGTTATTACATTCCATGTGCAACACCTTCTTCATCGTTTATTTCCAAGGCAGAAACTGTCCTCTTCAGTTGGAACTGGCTTTGGCATTCCATGTGTAACACCTTCTTCAACTGTCCTCTTCAGTTGGAACTGGCTTTGTGATAGCATCACATAACAAAATCAGAATTATTACATGGTATCAGTGTGATGCCATCAAGCTCATAATGTATAAGATTACTTATGTGAACATGCATATGAATTTACTCTACTACATCTCATTTGCCATTTACCACAAATAACATCTTGTTTTCCACTCCTGCAATACTATTAACTACAGAACTCACAAACTTGTAATCTCATAAGGTAACAGCCTGCTGAGAACCAGAGAATCTCATAGCAGTGCCCACATTTCTCACTTTCTATGCCATCAGGAAACATACAAAATGGGAACCCTGATCCCTGCTGCTTTGTAGAAACACTTACAGAAACTCAGAAAGCACAGTACAACCTGATAGCTCAGATGGATCTGTTTCACTCAAAATAAAGCTTACACCGACATATTGCTTTTATGTATCTGATTCTCCTTAATGTCCAACTTTACTGTCTCAACATGCCAAAGAGCTGGCCCTGGGTTCTCAGAGGATATGTAAATGGAGTAGGAACTGTGGAAAAGTCTAGCAGGCTGGAGGTGGACTGTGTAGACCTATTCAGTCATTACTTACAGTGGATTGTGTAGCTCTGTTCAGTCCTTACTTTCACATTTGACTCCAGCACACTTAAACATGGAGAGCAGTATATCTGTTGGAGAGATTTCTGCTCATGTACAAACTCCACATCAGCAAGAATGCCAATTCTACAGGTCTCTCGCTCACATGAGGAGTCACATGTGAGCAGCAGACATGGAGAGCAGTATACTGTATCTGTTGGAGAGATTTATGCTCATGTACAAACTCCACATCAGCACGAATGCCAATTCTACAGGTCTCTTGCTCACATGAGGAGTCACATGTGAGCAGCAGTGACACACAAAGGAGGGTTAGCATTTCCCTCTACGCATGATGAAGAGAATTGGGTAGAAGTCTAAGCAGGGCTTCTAACTAACAGAGAGGCTCGTCACCAGAAGGAAGTATCCACATGGATGGAGAGCTGTTTTAATGTATATAACTAATGAACCCTAGTGCTATGGTGGGTAATTGTGTGACTCCACTGCAAGTAGATTACAATCACACCATATTTCCTTTCTGTCAGAGCCTCGTGGCGCAGTGGTTAAACTGCTGTACTGCAGCCAAAACTGTGCTCAATCCCAGGTAACCGGCTCAAGGTTGACTCAGCCTTCTATTCTTCTGAGGTCCTTAAAGAGAGTACCCAGCTCACGGGGGGGGGGGGGGAGGCAATGTGTAGCCTGCATAATTAACTTGTAAACCTCCCAGAGAGTGCTTGAAGCGCTATGGGGCAGTATATAAGCAACACACTTTTTGGTTTTGTCAGTGATGCAGAGCAAACAAAATTAACCCTGTTTTTTTTTTAAAAAAACTGAGTTAAATGTTAGTAATAATGAACGCCACAAAACACTGAGTTCTACAGTGTGATTTGTGTCAGGTTTCTCAGTGGAAAAATCACGATTTAGCAGAGTATTTGGCAGTTCAGGCAGTCCAGGAATAATTCACACACAGTCCACCAGCATTTCTTTCAGCATAGTGTATTTACATCAATATATACAGCAGTCTGGCAGCATAGCAGGCAGATGTCATCTTCAAGCAGGTGAACATATAACTAACTGTACAGCCATACATATATACATACAGAGGACCAATCAGGTTACAAATTACCTCATCACATTACCTCATCCCAGGGTTGCATCAGCCCTGGGTTACATCATCTTTGCTGAGTCATCCTGACTCTGTTTCAGCACCCCTGATTGTTATGGCTTCTCATTAAACCACTCCATTCTGTTCTGGCCTTCAATTTTCCTTGACAATTTGTTATAACTGCTACCAGTTCCATTCTCCAAACAAAAGCAATCTCTTTGCATTGAATCTAGTAGATCATTGCCATATCGTGTATATAATGTGAGGAAAGTGCTCCTCTCACTGCAGCCTAAGGCACTCAACTTTTAATATCAAGATGTGACTTATTAAAGTAACTGCTCTATAATGAGCAATTGTGTTCCATTTTTAGTACATGTTGATATTATACTTTGAAGATTAATTAGTTAATGATTCCAATATGCTTTACATCTTCCAAGTGTTACCCATTAAGTGCTAAGCATTATCATATTCCCTTTGAAGTTTTATAAGACTCTCTTCACAAAGGGTTCGCCTTTTGCTATGTCCTTCACGCCTTTAAGGTAATCTGTAATCAGCAAGAACTCGCAGCACATTTGTATAGGATTCTGTAAGCCTTTATCTTTCTTGCATGATTCTGACAGCATTGCACTGGAGTCATGCGGCCTCAATATCCATCTCTTAAACGTTCACACCCAAGTCTTCAGCTAAATGCAGCTGGATGTCCTCCATTTAAAAGGAGATGCCCTCAGGATTTGGCCAGTTTAAAAATTCCGAGACTCAGCCCTGAATAAAATGTGCAACTTTGAACAGTAGCACCATTACTAAATATAGTCAGAATTGAAAAGAAACAGAAAGGGAAAGAACCTTAAAGGCTGACAGGGTTATTTTGGCATAACTGTGGGTCCTGATGATGGCAATTTTAATTGTATTTTAATTGTATTTCAATCATTTTATTATTATTGTATTGAATTTTAATTATTGTAAGCCGCCCAGAGACCTCTGGGTAGAGTGGGCGGCATATAAATTAAATAAATAAATAAATAATTAAGCCCCTGTGATCCAGACTCTACTTCAGAGCAACATTCCTCACAGTAGTGCCCTCTCAATGTGTTGGACTTCAATTTCCATAATTTCTAGTCACTATCACTAATGGCCAAAAATCTGGAAGGCTCTATTTTCCCATCTCGAGTCCTTAGATGTGGCTGAATTACCTTTCCCAACATTCCTATCCAAATTGACCAGCTGGAAGAGTTGATAAGCATTGCACTTCAACATCATCTGTGCACTGATGGTTGGGAAGCAGTACTTCAGAGGTTATACCCTACCAGACGCATGAATAATCCTGATCTGGCTGGTATGTACACATCCTTTGATTACAGGGAGAAAAATATAAACAGAAGGGCAACCCCCCACCCCTCCATACACAAAAGAACACTAGCATTGAACTCCAAGGTTCACGTAAGCATAGAAATGAGGCCTAGGTTGTTGTTTTTTTAAGACAAGTCTCTGCAGATCTTGTTTTGTTTTATTCTTTAATTTCATAAGTGTGTGGTCTGTTTTAACAATTTACAGCAATCTCACGTAGCCAGCACCAGAACTCCAATAATACATAATTTGTAACCTTGGTTGGCTACTGTTTCTACGACATTGTTTGCCACAGAGCTGGTGCAAGTAACAGTACTCTGTTTTTTTGCTGAAACAATTGCATTAGGACACAGCTGTTACAAATAATTTCCACAAAGAAGCAATATTGATAGACAGGCACCAGAAATCAGAGGAAGGATGTTTGGCTATCTAAATGCTAGGATACTGATGGTGACTACTATCTTAGGAAGCCTCATGTAGCACCTGTAGAAAAATACAATGGAAACATTCACCTTAGGCTTAGCCCAACACCAGTTAGCTTATGACTCTAAAACTAAAAATCAACTTGATAAGTAGAACATTCCACTGAAAAGCAGAACTGTTTTTTTAACTCTCCTGTGAGCATGAAACTTGTCCCCAAACTAGTTTTGATATAAACACGAGGATATTAAAGTACAGGAAAACATTTTAGACATTAAAAAGCATGGAAGGAATAAAAAAAAAGAGTTGCCAAAGCACATCTCTTAGGGTTTACAGCAAAGAAGAAAGTATGACATCTCAGTGGGGAATTTTAGATGCTTTACTAGATGGAAAATAAAAGTGCACCTGAAAGAGGAAAGAAAGCTTTTTTTTCAGCTGAAGTAAGGTGAAGGTAAAGGTTCCCCTTGACATTTAGTCCAGTCGTGTCCGACTCTAGGGTGCAGTGCTCATCCCCGTCTCCAAGCTGTAGAGCCAGCGTTTGTCTGTAGACAGTTTCCGTGGTCACGTGGCCAGTGCGACTAGACACAGAATGCTGTTACCTTCCCACCATGGTGGTAGCTATTTATCTACTCGCATTTACATGCTTTCAAACGGCTAGGTTGGCAGGAGCTGGGACAAGCGACAGGAGCTCCGTTGTGTGGATTCGATCTTATGACTGCTGGTCTTCTAACCTTGTAGCACAGAGGCTTCTGCGGTTTAACCCGCCGCGCCACCACGTAGTAGTCTCTGCTTATCTCACAGATGATTGTAGACTGTGGTCATAGAAAACTAAGCACAGAGTTATACCAAAATTGGCTGCTCTCTCCAGGGACAACAGAATGAAATAACTAGCTGAGGGGAAAAAATACTGACAGTTTCTAAAGATAAGGAAGAAAGGTACTGAGAGTGCAATCAATTGTGCAACTCTGCTTAAATTTCAGGAATAATCTGTCTTGTTTGGAAAAGACCACATTATTTAAAGTTTTAGACAATGGATTGATCCCTTAACAAAACAAATCAGTAAAGATGTGTGGTTTCATAATCTTTTATGATAATCTAGGGGAAAAAAACCTTATTGCTCTCCTGCCCCACTTCAAACAAAGAGTGCACAGTACTCTAGCCATCAATAAACAAAAAGTAAGTTCGTAAGTCTCATTCTCACCACCAAACCTAGGAGGATAATAATGACTACATTTACTGAATTGGTTCAAATTTTCTGTGTTTCAATTCCCTAACAAGCACTTGGGTTATGAATTTAAAATCTTTCCATTTTGCCTGTGTTATCCGAAACAATATAATTGTCCAAGATCCTGTTGTGTAGTTATCCCAGTGGAAGGGAAACAGCGTAACTCACAGTGGATTCCTCATTGTGCACCACTCTAATGGCTTAGCATATGATCAGAAATCCAAGCAAGGATCTGTTAATTGGTGGCAATTTGCCACTGCTAATTATGCTATAAAACAGTAGTGAATAGTTAGTTGGACTGTGTTACTTGGCCTGCGGTGTAGATGTTTGTATTTTTAGTGGGGACTTTTAGTGGGTAGGGAGTGTTGGGGGATTTTTTACTGGGTGGGGAGTGTTTGGGGAATTTTATGTGTGTGCATGTGTCTGGTCTCTGGGTGTCTGTGAATTTCATTGTATGGGTATACTGTGTATATACCTACAATGACAATCAATCAATCAATCAATCAATCAATCAATCAATCAATCAATCAATCAATCAATCAATCAATCAATCAATCAATCAATCAATCAATCAATCAATCAATCAATCAATAAAATTGGTCTTCTGCTGTAATAATGATGCAAGAAGACTTTTGCCATTATAGCATTTCTGGTTTAAGCTCAAAAATTTCATATACTATAACCTGTCATTGAAAATATAGCTATCCCCAGTGGTGACTATGAAAATCAAATAGACACTCACATACAAACACACCTTTTGCATTTCCTAACACCCAAGTGCTTATCTAGCTGGGAAAACCAGAAAAGCACTGTGAAACATGTATAAGAAATTTGTGCTGGCAGGGGAACTACGGAGGAACTACTACACTAATGCAACGACCAACACATTATGTGTGTGTGTTTAGTCGTTTAGTCGTGTCTGACTCTTCGTGACCCCATGGACCAGAGCATGCCAGGCCCTCCTGTCTTCTACTGCCTCCCAGAGTTGTGTCAGGTTCATGTTGGTTGCTTCGCAGACACTGTCCAGCCATCTCATCACATTTAAGTGAAGGTAAACATAGCCATGCTTTCTTTTTTCACTGTTAATGAAATGGATGGGCATGCCAACAAATGAATATTGATTAAATTTATCATTTCTTCATCTCCCCACCCTCCGTTGCTTTCATGTCACTACTAGTGGCAGCAAAACAGCATTCTTGGAAACCAAAGAAGAGTGGAGATTTTCCCAATATACCAGCTGAACAAGGAGAATCCCACCATCTCTAGAAAACAACCAAAGACCACACAGGGCCCCCAGGGCAGCACATTTTGCACCCTTGCCTTAGTATTCAAAGTACAACCCAGCCTCCATTTTGTTTCTCCTCAGGTCCTTAATATGCCCGTGTTCACCTCGTGTTGTGCCAAAAAGAAGAAAGAAGTCATCAGTTCAAATTTACACCAAATATATTGCTAGATGAGCAAGAGAGAGAACCAGGTGCTCTCAGACCTAAAATAACAGCTGCTTTATTTGAATTTGAATACAATTCTAAAAGCCAAGTCAGGCTTTTATTAACCTCCCCACCCCTCAAAGGATGAATAGCTTGGAGAAATATCTTATGGCCTCAGAAAATAACTACATAACCAGCTTTAAAATCTACCAAGCAAATAGGTCAGTTCTCAAGACAGAAAGTCCATGTACATCAAAGAGGGGAAGTATTTCAGAGCTTCTCCATACATCAGAGTTAATGCTGATTACTGCAAAAGAACCTGCACATTAGACAAATTTAAGATCAAAGAGGCTTCTTGGACTGTCATTACTAAAAACTGAAGTAACTGATGGCACAGCAGTCAAGATACACAGAAAAGAAATGGAGTTTGTTATAAACTACTACGGACCTTACATGGCATGTTGGAATAAATAAGTATGTACCCTGTTTTTCCCAAAAATAAGACCTAACCTGAAAATAAGTCCTAGTATGATTTTTCAGGATGCTTATAATACGTATAAGCCCTACCCCAAAAATAAGCCCTTGGTTAAGTGAAAGCCGCCCTCCACCGCTGCACAGCAACCAGAAGACAACACGACTGCATTTGAATAAATGTAGATTCTTGTACATGAAAAAAATAAAACATCCCCTGAAAATAAGCCCTAGTATGATTTTTCAGGATGCTTATAATACGTATAAGCCCTACCCCAAAAATAAGCCCTTGGTTAAGTGAAAGCCGCCCTCCACCGCTGCACAGCAACCAGAAGACAACACGACTGCATTTGAATAAATGTAGATTCTTGTACATGAAAAAAATAAAACATCCCCTGAAAATAAGCCATACTGAATGTTCTGGAGCAAAAATTAATACAAGACTCTATCTTATTTTCAGGGAAGTACAGTAGATAAAACCATAATCACAGGAAATCATCATTCTGGCATTAAACCTCAAATGGTAAAATATACAGCAGCTTCAGAGACATTTAAAATTCAGTTGCTAAGCCACTTGATATTAATTCTCTGCAGTTAAGATGCAGCAATATATACAAAACAGGATTGTTACTTACCAGAGTTTAAGTCACGGCCAGGATTAAATGCTCTGCTATTCACAGTGGTGGACAGTCTGTCACAGCTAATGGTTCTAGATACATTTGTGTTGAAATTACCATCAAACCTGAAATGAACACAAGAGCAAGATGAATAGGACTGGTACCCCAATTCTGCCTTTAAAAGTCTGATCTTTGCCTTGAATTTGTATTTGCAGAAGATGGTTTTACATTTGTATTGCCTTTAATCCTTAGCATAGGCAAATCTTATCCATTTCATTTCCCAATGGGCAGGCACCTCATAAGTTTGTGAAACAGTCTTCAACTACTTATATGAAGTATGTGAAGACATGATCCCATACACTAAAGGCCAGAATCCTGTTGCTTAACATAGTAAATTGCACCAGAGTAGGCCCACTGAATCAAAGGTGACTTAGTGAGTGAATTCCTCCATACATTTGATTGATTCAAAAGGGCCTGCTTTAAATGTGATTTAATGTGCTAAAGTAAATTGCATCAGAAGAGGCCCATTTGAATCAATAAAATCAATAAAACCTATGGAGGGGACAACAGAGGACGAGATGGTTGGACAGTGTCATCGAAGCTACCAACATGAATTTGACCCAACTCCGGAAGGCAGTGGAAGACAGGAGGCCCTGGCATGCTCTGGTCCATGGGGTCACAAAGAGTTGGACACGACTTAACAACTAAACTACAACAACAGTGGAGGAGTTGACTCACCAAAGCATCATTGAGTCAATGGGCTTATTGTAGTGCAATTTACTACCTAAAGCAACAAGATTTTGGACAGAATGTATTGGCCAATATTGTAAGAAAGAAAACGAGTGATTCATAATAAGCATGCTATGCCATTAAAAAGATCCAAGCCAATTACAAATATTCTAAAGGAGCAAGGAGAACCTTCAGTCTTTGGGCCAGATGCAACCCTTGGATGTTTCTCATCCAGTGTCTTTTTTTTTCTCTAGCCCCCACCCCTGTTGAGTTTCTGCACTGGCTGAAGATGAAGGGGCTCCTTCTTAAACTCCAGACAGGAGAGATATGCATGAAACTACAAGGGCAAGGTCAGTCTAGCTCAGCATCCTGGCTGAGGCTTAATCGTTGTGGCCTGGATTTGGATCATACCTCTCCTTTCCCATTAATCTGCACTGAGAAAAATCTATTCATTCAAATGGAAAAGATTTTTCCCCCCAGTACAAACTGTAGAGGTGGGAAAGGCAGCACTGCACACATTGCTGAGTACCAATCCAGATCAGAATCACATGCTTGCAATGTGCACTGGCCCAGGACAAATTGCAGGGGAGAGACTGTTGTTGTTGTCTTATCATACTACTGCAGTAACATATGAACTGTGCCAAAGAAGGATATGGTTATGGGAGGACTGTACAGACGTAGCTTTACAGCAACTTCAAAACATGGTAATCTCTCTCACACACACACTCACACTCACACACACTGCACAGAATATAAAAATATCAATTCTACTAGCAAATCTCTATGGTAATACATTTTTTGCTCTTGCCTGAACTATAAGTATATGCAAGTGCACTTTAAATACTTTTGCAACTTCTTATATTACTTGTATTTTTTGTATCAAAGAAAAATGTTAATTTTAAAAAGTAAAAACAAAAAGTATCAATTTATAGTAAAAACACAGATTCTGACACATGACTTGCAACTGAAACCTGAGCATGTTTACTTTAAAGTACGCAAGTCCTATTGAGTTCAAGAGGTTTCCTGTTATTGCTTAGGAAGTGAAACGGTCCAGATGTAAAGGATTTCCAACTGGGTGCTAACATCTGTCCTCTAGGTACATTTTATCATTGCAACTGCTTCTAACAGCCTCATTAAATTCTAAGTCAACTTAATGGAATTAAAGCTTCTTTCCAATAACTATTGGAAATATTTATTACAATTTTATTTTTCACACTTAAGATAGATCCTTTTGTTATGATCCAAACAGGTAAAATAAAAATGTCACTGTCCTCAAGAGAAGACGAATGCTGGAATGCAATCTATAATGCTGATATTCTTCTCTTTAGAAAGTTGGTCTTCATGGTATCACAGAAGGGATATCTCCAAGGCTGGGATTTGATCACTCCTCCTCCTCCCTCACATATTTATTTTACCCACTTTTTCTAACACAGTTAGTAGTAGTAGGACTTAAAAACATTACCTGACAATTGCCTAACGATTCATGTGCAAGTTTCAGAAAACAAACTCTTGCCCTCCAGACAAATAAAACATAATAAAGAAATCAAGACAGGAATAGAGGGAGCTCTTTAATGAGCCCCCACATCTTTATCAAATACATGAATGTCAATAATCACACGTTTTAGTGCAAGCTCCAATTTCAATTTTAGCTCCAGTTGCCCTGGAGAAAAAAAAAACTGGTTTTGGTGGTAAATAGCTTCTGCAATGAGAAATGATCAAAATATTATTTTAACTTAAGCTTCAAGAGAAAATAACATCCATTCCCACCCCCAACCCTCTTCTTTCTCTCCTTTTCCTTTTTCTATATTATATGAAAACCCTTCCTTCTGGATTCACTTTAATGAACAACTGATCGAAACTGCATCCCGAGGGAGAAAACAGAACTGTGACTCCCACTTTGATCTCTTCCCCATGGAGAAATTCACTCCCTGCCTAGCTCGCAAGATGTTCATTTGATTGACGTTTGCTCTGATGTGCAAACTGCTTTGAACTTCAGACATTTAATTCCCATCGGGCAGCAGTCTTTTTTATTCTCCTTCAACAGGATTTACAAGCAGAAGATCAGCAAATGTAGAAGATAAAATAAATTTGCAGAAGCTTTGAATCTTACATCAAAACAGTATTCAAGTAAGCTCCAATTGGATTTCATTCAGCCTCTATTCACAAAGTAAATCAACTTCTTCTTCTTCTTCTTCTTTCTCTCTCTCTCTCTCTCTCTCTCTCTCTCTCTCTCTCTGTGTGTGTGTGTGTGTGTGTGTGTGTGAGTGAGTGAGTGAGTGAGAGAGAGAGAGAGAGAGAGAGAGAGAGAACATGTATAAATGAGACTCATCAGCTGGGGTTAGTTTACTGTATTAAGTCTCATCCTTTTTTCCCACACTTTGTTTTAAGTGACAGTGAACTTAAAGCTGTTCCTTTCCCCACAGATAAATACAACTAATCCTTTTAAAATGTGCTATTTTCTTTGAAGTTCAAATATTAATGAAAAGTATATTCTTATAAATAATATTTTATTTTCATACTGTAGTGCTCAAACAGTAAAAGCAATCAGGGGCGTCCTTCAAAGTTCCAATTTTTAAGGCAAGCAAGCTATTTTGTTATCCTGGGGGTGGCTATCCAATATGCGTGGACAAACAAATACTGTTTATATGGCATTGTAATGACACAAGAACAAGAAAGATTTCTTACATATTTATTTACTTCCTATTTATTCCTCATACAGTAGCAAGATGAGACTTATTATCAAACCTTTTAAATGTATTATGAAACAATGGCTCTCTTACAAATGCCATAATTTTTGGAGACAAATTGCTTTACGCTAATAAATGACAATAGACATCAATCTGTTACATCCTCAGTTGTGCAATTCAACATGATGATTTCTTAACTTGGGCAAAATGCCTCCAAATGTTGCACTGTTTGAGTAGCTATGCAAGAGGATTTTGGCCAATTAGTCCATCTGATGTTTGGAAGGGGAGAGTATAATTATTATGCATCGTACATCCTGCTGTCACTTGTTTGTTTAGAAGAGATTATTTCTAGCCAATGCCATACATGCCTTCACCAACACATAAAAGCTAATTATTAACCAGGATTTAATTGTCTCTACAAAATACCTACACCTACAACTTAACTGGAATTATCAGACTTCCTAAAGATCTTTATAATACTGTTGAAGTTCCATTAGGCTGAGAACAGTTCCGTACTCTAGAAAATGTGAGTCCACAAGCATTTACAAAGACCACTATGAGAATTCCCTTATCTCTTAACTTAACAGCCCATGAGAGGACAAGTAAACAAAAGAAAAGGCTGTGATAAAGCTAAACTGCAATAGCAAATATTTAAGCAGCTATTTAAAAAAGGTGAGCCAGACCACTTCTGAAGGAGTTATCTCATTCTTAAAGTAAATTATTTTCAAAACTAGATCTCTAGGTTTACTCATGCAAATATTACATTAACGAATCTAGTGGAAAGTTGTCATATAATATGTGACAGTGATAAGAATTTTTCCAGTGTAGGGTTGTTATTGTTTTGGCAAACAGAGATAAGTAAAAGCATTCCTGATGGTTTGCTTTCTTTTGTAAATTGATAGAATAAGATGGGACACAAAAAGCAAAAAGTGTGACAGCCATAGTGTATGTCGAACAATATTAATTAATTATCGAATATTTACTAACCAATTAACGGAACTCTAGAAAGGTAACACTCAAGTGTTAAACAGTAGTGAAAAACCTGTACATTTAGGCAGGGTGTGTCTTGATATATGCCTGACTGTACAACCAAGATAGGTTCAGCATTTCATCAGTTAGTTGCGCTTAGCTGCTGCAAATTACACAAACTTTACGGACTCCCAAAAGGATTCTGGCCATTCTTTCTTACATCATCTATATTGGTTTCCAAAAGTCAGACTCAATTTAACAAGACATTATTATTTATAAATAATCACATCAAGAAATGGTGTTTGTGTGTGTGTGTGTTTTCTCCTTGCAAAAACCCAGAAAAATCTGGAACCTCTTAGTTCATGCCCCATTTACATTATCATTGATTAAAAACCCCATCCAAAATGATTTTGCAGAGAGAAATTAGAGATAAATGCTATAAATTCAAATAGAAACACTAGTTAGCTTCCTTTCACCTTACATTGATGTAAAATAAATGAATGAATTAATGAATGGATTAGAATTTATCACAGAATGAATAGAAATGCCTCAAAGGTTGATACTTTGGTGTAAAGAAAATCATCTCACACTTAACATCACAAAAACTAAAGAACTCATAATTGATTTTAGGAGGAAGAGAAATGTACATTTACCACTATACGTAAACGGTGAGGAAGTGGAGAGAGGTGGTAGTTTTAAATTTCTGGGTACTTACATCTCAGAGGACCTCTCATGGACTATAAATGCCAACATGCTAATGAAGAAGGCACAGAAGAGGCTGCATTTCCTGAGAATGCTTGGCAAGTTAAATTTATCTCAGCATTTACTTCTGTCATACTATCGTAGCACCATTGAGAGTGTCCTAACCTATGGCATTCTGGCATGGTTTGGGAGTAGCTCTGTAGCGGACAAAAAAGCTCTACAGAGAACCATTAAAATTGCCCAGAATATCATCGGGCTCCAGCTACCAACCCTGGATGACATCTTCACATCCCGCTGTCTAAGGAAATCACATAGCATGCTGAGAGACTCTTCCCATCCTGCTTATAACTTTTGAACATCTGGCAGAAGATATAGAACAATTAAGACTCGGACTACACGTTTTCTCAATAGTTTTTATCCCAGAGCTATAATTGCAATTAATAATGAGCTTAAAGACCACCAGTAGTGAATAATTAGTTGGACTGTGTTACTTGGCCTGCGGTGTAGATGTTTGTATTTTTAGTGGGGGACTTTTAGTGGGTGGGGAGTGTTTGGGAATTTTATGTGTGTGCATGTGTCTGGTCTCTGGGTGTCTCTGAATTTCGTTGTATGTGTATATACTTACAATGACAATAAATTATTATTATTACTAGCAGTAAAATGGAGTGGGGATCAGTCCACCCAGACCAACCCTTACCTTCATCTACATGCCATTGTGACCATGGAATATGTTACATTCATTTTACATTCAATGGCACTGTTTTCTAGTTTTTATCTAATTAACACACATGTGAACATTGCAAGATTACATAGGCTTTGACAAGCAAGGCCTCTTTCAGTGTTGTGATATCAGCTGGTGCAAAATGGAGAAAACTGGAACAGGATCATTCTTGCCCTGAATCGCAGTAGCTGGAATACTATACCACAACATGAAATCACACAAGAACGGAATGGTGAATTCATAACCCATTCATTAATTTCATATTGTACTAAATTTTATTTAATATGGAAGATGCACTAGTTTTAGCTATATGCCTGAAGGGCATGTCTTCTAAGGACCATTCTCAATGACAGCTAAAAAGGGTGTCTCCATTTTCAGAAGAAAATACCCCCACAACCAGTAGATACTACAAACAAACAACAAGCAATGGCTGTTGCCAGAGTTTTCCATTCATGAGTTTCACAAGGATAATAGTCTAGTAACTCCTAAAAAAGGAAAACTTATTGACAGATCTTTGGTCTTATTCATTAAGCAGTTTTTTAAAAAATGATGTTTCCGAGCTATATACTGTATTGTGTTTTCAAACTTCTCTTGTAAAATGTCTGTTTGCTCTAGTTTTAGCTCAATTACTTCGATTACAACTCAATTATATAATTTACCTAACAGGTGCTGGGGAGGGTCTGGCTCAGGATGAATCATCCCTGGGAATAAGAAAGAAAATGTTTCTAGAGGTCTCAAATTACAGTCCCAAATTTATACCTATCCAGGACTCACATATTCATGTTCTTCATAGTCCTCAACCAGGTTCTGCAAATTTAAATTATGCATTGTGGGGATAAAGTTGAGATGGTGTCTTCTATCCTCTCTTTTTCCATAATATTAAAGTTTGAGATTATGCAAAGAAAATGTTTGGAAATGATACACAGGTAAAAGAAAGAATTTACGAAGTTCACTGTCACTAGATGTAGCAATGGCTGCTGGGTTAGACACAGAGGCTTGGGTAAGTTGTTTTTTTCCCTAGGATCTGTAGTCCAAAAGGTAATATTTTCAGGTTCTGTATAGATTATTTTAAATGGGGACTAGATAACTTTATGGAGGGGTATAAACCATGATTATCCAATGGATTATCCAAGTTTGGAGGCAATATGCAGCTGACAACCAGTTAATAAAGGAGGGTTTGTCCTGCTTTTCAACTTCCTACAAGCATCAATCTGGTCACTGTCAGAAATAAGATGATGGTCTTAGCTGGCACTTTGACCAGATATAGCTGTGCTCTTCTTAGCTTCCCACGTGTCTATTTGCCAAGAAATGGATTGGGGGTGGATTGCAAACCTGAATCTTAGAAAGAACCATCCACCTGCTTTTCTGTCTTTGACACATCATCTGTTTCAACACAACTCTTTTTCCAACTGGCAATCTTTTTAGCTTACAGATGGCAGGTCAGGATACTGTTTTCTAGGAATGAGCACCACTAAGAATATCTCCTACTTGAGACAAGCAAAAAACAAACAAACAAACAAAACAAAAAACAAAAAAAAAAACCTGGACAAAATAGTGATTTCTTTAAAGGAGCTGGAAGGAACCAAACAAACAAATAAACAAAAAACCTGGACAAAATACAGTAGTGATTTCTTTAAAGGAGCTGGAAGGAAATGTAATTGAGCTCACTCTTTCACCAGAGACGAATTCGTTGATCCCTTTGGTCTGCACCTTCAAGCTGTACTAAGATATGCAGACCTCCTTCCAATTGTGTGACAAACTACTGCAATTGCCTGCCTAGCACTACATGAAACAGAAGACTGCAATGTAAGAATCACCCCAACTGCTTCTTCTTCAAACCTTTCCTGATTTGGAACATGCTGTAAGCCTACACCATCCATTCTCAACGGGGAGGGGGGCATATGTGAAGGGGAAGACTGGAAACAATTATTCACACACTACTTTATAAGGTTCGTTATGTGCCTTACACAATTCTAATTTGGCCTATATTTCTTTCATATTGTGTTTATGGCCGTGGCCTAAAAAGATTGTGAATGGCTGGCCTACATCATTCCTATGTATTCCCAGCCCCCAGCTTAACTATATTCAGAAGTCAATGCACAGTCACGTGGATGCTTCCAGCATACACTGCATGGACATACATCTGAATAGCAACTCTTATAAGAAATAACCCTGGTTATCCTGGTTATTTCCAGACTTCATCAAAATAAGCTAGCAGGGTATGGTTGGAAAAGCAAAGGATATACACCAAATTTCATAAAAAAAACTACTAAACTAATTCCTTTAAAAATTACAAGGAACACAAATAATAAATTTATCACTAAATCTATAACCTTACTCCGACAAAATGCTTTATCAGTGTAATTCAGGAAGTCTCAAGCTATTAAGAGAACGATAACTTCAAAAGACTATATAAAAGCCAACTTGCTATCAAAGATTGGCAGACACTCATACCTCTGATAATTATTTGCAATACCCAGGAAACACAATTTTCATTGTCTTTTTATTTTATTTATTTATGTATTTATGTGCTGTCTTTCTTGACCCAGTCATACATCAAAGGCGAAGAATAAATATAAAAGACTCTTTTATTTACATTTTCTAAAATCCAGTATCCTTTTTCATATACTACATTTTTTCTATCCATTATATAATTTTATATGGGTTAGTTAATGTTGATCAGCCCACGAAACCATGTTACATTCAAACCATAACATGGACAACCTTTTCAACTTTCATGCTGGCAATTTTTTAAAGCAACAGCACTAATTATATATCTCAAACAACTATTTCATGTACGTAAATGACAAGAAATTAACTTTCCTTCTGCAGCATCCTACTACATATGGAAGCCTTCAACTTTCCACAACACACAGGCAAAATTCAATGGCACCAAGCTGACAAAATCAACTAGATCACCATGCTGAGACAGTCATGCTTCAGACAAAAGCTAGATCCTCACCACATAATCCATGTACAGGATTTTCCTTGCCAAATAAATACACTGTTTATGCCACTCATACTCATAAGCACACAGCAAGTTAGATCATGACAAACTATATTAAGAATGAGCTTAGAAGGCGGCCCTACAACAGCATCTTGGAACGATTTCAGATGGCCTGTCCCACCAACTGCTAACATCAGGTGTGCCCACGCAAGACTTTATTAATACGATCCCTGGAAAATGGGCGTTTCCCCACCATTAAGACCACTCCCCCCCTTAGAAGTATTTGAATACTTACTCCATCATGGATGGTGGAATGGTGCAGCAATCTTGAATCGCAGTTAGGGGTGATGTCAGATGAGCAGTGTAGGAAGCTTCTACCACATGCTTGTTTCGATTTACCACATCCAAGTAACGGTTAAATTTTTCCCGAATTTTTTTTGCCAGCTAGAAAATTTAAAGAGGAGACATCAAAAACACTTGCCAGCATATATATTTTGTAGTCATTATGCAAGAAGAAATAGCCAAATATGTCACAGAATGCAATGCGGCCAAAATTCTGAAACAAATTTGCTGTGAACAACTGTATGTTTATTTTCATATTACATACATCTAGCGAAGGAAAAGTAATCCTTTGAAAGAGAAACTGGCCAAAATTGAATTGAATATTTATTCAGGCAATAGTTTGATGGCATGAATTTCAACAGCAAATTACTGCTAGCTAAGAAGTCAACATTTATGTTTCTTGTCATATTTTCTTGTTGGCTTAGTGGACATTCAAATATATGCTGCCAGACTTGAACAACTGGACATAATTTAACAAAACCGTGGCCAATATCGAAGTCTGCTGTACAAAAACCACTTAAATAATTTGAAGGGAATATACACATCATTTAAAATGCACTTCTTATATTGTTTGGTCTTTTTCAGTTTTCCATGACAACCTACCTAATTTTCAATTATTAAGCCTTCTAAATAGTATTTTCCATTAAAACCACACAGAAACACAGCCTGGAAAAAGTTTGAGTTTTGACTATGATTCTTAGAATCTTACAGCCAGCCTACTGGGGGATTATAAAACCCGTACTTCAAAATAACTTCTCCAATCTCTAGATAGAATCTTAAAATCTATACTAAGTCCAACATACCTTTCAGGAATAAATTCTACAGGAATCCAGGTAATACATTTGCGAATGGATAAAAGTGATATGAAACTGATCTGGGCCAGTACAGTACAGTATATCAGAAGGACTCTGATATTATGTACAACCTGAACAAAGGTAAATTATAGTCTGTAAAATGTCCAGTCCCGTGAGCAATATCCTTTAAATGTGATGACAAAATCAATTTCCAACCTCTTATGGAGTCCCTACTGATTCAAGGGGACTACGTCAGTGAAACTTAGTATACTAAGCAACAGAATTTCAGACATGGAATCTCAGGATGCAGACCAGAAGGCATTAGTGTACAGGAACTAACAAATCTAGAAGCACCATGTGGAAGAAGACTTACAATTTTTGTTTACTTGAAGGAAGTAAGATAAAAATATGCTGAAAACACAATTTACAGTGCCAAGAACACAATATAGTTTGTTATCTTTTCAACCATCACAAAATTGTTTAGAAGTATAATAGAATATGTTCCAGAGATCAAAAATAAGATTCAGTTTTCAATATGTTTTAGTATACTTAAAAAAGAAACTTGTACATGACTAATTTGCATGGAACACAGACTGCTTAGGAGGAAAATGTCTGGAATGCTCCTACAAGGTAAATTAAGTATTCCACAACAGATTGTTGCACTTAATATAGTTCCAACACTACACAAAACATGGAAAAGTTACTTGTTTGTACTAAAACTCCCTTAATACCACAGTCAGTAGTCCTGTCAACAAGAGGATTCTAAGAGCTTCACTATTGAAATGTAAAGTTTCCAAACTATCCTATACTTACCTGAAAGTAAATCCCATTGAAAACAGAATTGCTGTTCTTGTTGTTTAGTAGTTAAGTCGGGCACCTCTCGCTGCTGCCTACTGAGTGCCATTGCCCAATCGCAAGAAGATCGCTGGAGGGGGCGATTGGGCAGTGCTGGCAGCAGTCAATGGGCAGCCGCGAGAGGCGGCCGAGCGTGGCTGCTTCTTTGCCTCAGTCTCTGCCTCCTCCCGCTGCCTTCTGTATATAAAACAACCCTCAATTTTTCCTCTAATTATTTTAGGAAAGATGTCATTTTATACATGGAAAAATACAGTACTTCCCTCCAGTCTACACGGACCAGCATGAGCAAAATGGATGATGCAGTTACAATTGAGCCAAGACAGTAGCCCTTAACCCCAACACAGGATGTTTCTGTTCTTTCAATGGCTTCCTTTTGCACATCCTGTTTTGCACAGACCTACATTATAAACAACCTCTTAAAATAAAATCTAATATTCTATAACAAGTCTCTCTCTTTCTGTAAGTAACGTCCAGGCAACTCTGGCAATTGGCCCTTTCAATCATGTCATTCATATTCATGAGCCAATTTGAATGAACCTATGAGAGAGCTGGAGGGGCGGAGTCCATGAATATACAGGAGTATATAGGAGGCTTGGCTGAAGGAGGAGCAGGCAGTTAGAGATAGATAGATATAGATAGGGCTGGTTAGTTAGAGAGAGGGGGAACAGACACTGAGAGAGATACAGCTGGTTAGGAAAATAGGTACAGAAGGTGGTAATGATACAGCAAGAGAAAAGAAGTATGTACTGAGAGGACTGTTGATAATTTGTTTATGTATAATATGTATCTGAGAGACTTCTGCTATTATTCAATAAATAATAAACTTCTGCTATTATTGAATCTGCTTCATTTCAATAAATAAATTCTGTTTCTGTTCACAAGTCAAGTGTTCGGACAAACATCATTTATATTGTGGATTGAGTTAATCCACTGGTGGCAGCAAGAAGAAAACACAACGTGAACCTTTGTGAGGGAAAGACAAGCAGGGGCCACAAGGGCAAATGCCACACCAACTATCACCTAACCATGTTTTCAGAACTCAACCAAAACCCTGGTAGTATACTATTTTCCTCAGCCAATTTTAAATTTTCCTCATAATTCGTGCAAGACATTTCCCACAGCTTGCAGCCCAAATGAAGAAAGAGAATAATCTTTTAACAATTTACAGCTCACAGCAAAATGTTCAGTATCGCAGTTTAATGCATTCTGCCTTCAGAGACAGATAAAGTTCTTTAATTAGTAATATCTAACTGGCTGCCTTTCCACACTCCCCGACTAGTCCCATCCCAACACATAGACCACCTGAAGGAACAACCTGAAAACACAACTCAATCTGAGTACTGAAATACCTAATTGGCCAGTTCTTTAGTCTCTGAGATTGACAAATGCCCTTCCTAACTATTAATAACAGGTCATTTAATCATGATTTACTTTCTTACATGACTAATGAGACCCACAGTGATAAGAGCAGTGACTTTGCCTCAATTGCTTCCATCAAACACTACAGCTCAATTACAAGTCTCCAAGGGACATCATTTTTAGCAGAATGTTGTTCAAATGAAATGACTTGAAGAATTATACTTAATTGGTGTTGCAGAATGATTTATTACTAACATACCAGAAGACTGCTAATTGTCCCAGAGCAAGGAGTCCTATACCATTAAACTGCTCTCAACTGTCAGTGTACAGCTGAGTAGATTCTCTGTTCTTCTGTTTTTGCAAAACTTTACTCTTTTTGCTAATAAGTATACAGCTAAAGTGTTATGCTTCCTCACATGCTTAGATAATATCCATTTAAAAATAAAACATCTAAAGTTCAAGCATCACAAAAACTGCTGAACAGATCCCCCCTCCCCTCAGTATGGGTAAATATAAATGAGATCTACTTATCATATGTCAACTGGGTTTAATACCACATGTATGTGAAATTCCTCCTACAGAAGCTTCAATATATAAGTGGTGAAACATTAGCAGTATTTGGATATCACACTAAACCATAGTCTGGTATAATACCAAAGAACCTAGGTTTCCCTCTCTTCTTTCAGCTGTGACAGCTGGACACTTTTGCTTACAGTTTTCTTCAACTGTAGTTTATCATTCCATTGCCACCAATAATTGGCTAATTTTAAATACTATGTTTGTTTTTAAAAAGCCGGCTTGAAAGGCTCGTTCACATTACAATAAAGCAGAAAAAAGAAAACATTATCTTTTGCAGGAAGGAGAACCAGAGTAGCCCAGCCGTCAATAGCCACATGTCATGCTAACTAGGGTATTCTGGGAGCTGTAGTTTCTTTCTTCTATAACATACTACAGTTTACAGTTGTCTAAATACAGCTACCATTTCTAGAGCTCTTTAACCTTTAATGTGAGAGCACAAGGGATTTGCACAATGCTTTCTGGTGTTTTTTTTTTCTGCTTCCTGGCAACTTAGAGAACCATTAACATGAAACAATTCTGCTCATAAAGCTGTTAACCTTTGCATCACCACTGACAGCATAAAGTCACATTTTATTCTTCTTCCATGACTGTTTCTAAAAACACAATTATATTTTAGTTTTGGCATCAAGATATTTTGTTCACAGTGGGGCCAACAACAGGTTATTATGTTTTTTAAATGCAACATTAGCCTGTGACAAACATATTTTTGTTTTTATTTCATAAATATAATAGATTGCTGAACTATACAGAATTAGATATGTATAATGGACTTAATATGGACTAAATATTATAACATAAAACATAATCCTATCTGAATTTAATAGTAACATCCAAGAACAAAGATATATGTACTTTAGGAGGCAAATAATCCATTTTTCAACCCAACCCACCCACTAACTGATCTATTTACACAAGAAGATAATTCTCAATTATAAAAAGGTATCTATTTGCATTGGAGATGTTCTCAAATTGCTTGAATTCAATTCCTCAAATTACTGACTTAACTGCAATTTAGGTTATGCTAAATTTGAATCTGTATAGTACAAAGAAGAGACTCATCTGAATGAAACATTGAGTCCAAAGTATGTAAATGGTTATCATGCCTTTTTTGGGACAGACTTCAGACCACAGAGATCAATTACTGTGCACGCACACTGAAATTTAATATGTCTGCATATTATTTATACCCATACTACTAATCCTATTTTAAATATTTCATCATCACATCAGTGACTCTCTTTTTTAGTTTCTTCAGATATAGCTTACAATTTGCATACAGCCCCTGAGCTTTAAATGCTTCCTTTATTGCTAAACTTCCTCTGATATTTTCTCTCTCCCACTTAAATAATACACTTTATTAATGCCAGGTATGAAAATTTAATCTTATAAAAGTATATTTTGAAATAGTATATATCTATTAAGGCAGTACGTAACTATTTTTAACATTAAGTTTAAGCATAAAACTACATAACTGCAAGAAGTAAATATCACCTGCAGCATAGAGAATGTAGTTTT